AAAAGGATTATAAAGGATTATACAACAGATCAATAAATCAAAAAGTTGGTTTTTTGAAAAGGTCAATAAAATAGATAAACCTTTGGCCAACCTAACCAAGAAAAAAAGAGTAAAATCTCTAATTTCATCAATCAGAAATGGTGAAGATGAAATAACAACAGACCCCTCAGAAATTCAAAAAACCCTTAATGAAAATTACAAGAAACTTTATTCTCAGAAATATGAAAATCTGAAGGAAATCGACCAATACTTGGAAGCACGCCACGTTCCAAGACTTAGCCAGAAGGAAGTGGAAATGTTGAACAGGCCTATATCAAGTTCTGAAATAACATCAACTATAAAAAATCTCCCTAAAAAGAAAAGCCTGGGACCAGATGGCTTCACGTCAAAATTCTACCAAACCTTTAAAGAGGAACTAGTACCTATATTACTTAACCTTTTCCAAAATACAGAAAAAGAAGGAATACTACACAACATATTCTATGAAGCAAACATCACCTTGATCCCAAACCAGGAAAAGACCCAACAAGAAAAGAAAATTATAGGCCAATATCACTAATGAATACTGATGCGAAAATATTCAACAAGATCCTAACAAACAGAATCCAGCAACACATCAAACAAATTATATACCACGACCAAGTAGGTTTTATCCCAGGGTCTCAAGGCTGGATCAACATACATAAATCTATAAATATAATTCATCATATAAACAAATTAAAAAACAAAGACCATATGATTCTCTCAATTGATGCAGAAAAAGCTTTCGATAATATCCAGCATCTCTTTATGATCAGAACACTTAAGAAAATTGGTATAGAAGGGACATTTCTCAAATTGATAGAGGCCATCTACAGCAAACCTACAGCCAATATCATATTGAATGGAGTTAAATTGAAATCATTTCCACTTAGATCAGGAAACAGGCAAGGGTGCCCATTGTCTCCATTGCTCTTTAACATTGTAATGAAAGTTTTAGCCATTGCAGTTAGGGAAGAAAAGGTGATCAAGGGTATCCATAAAGGGTCAGAAGAGATTAAACTTTCATTCTTCACGGATGATATGACTGTATATCTGGAAAACACCAGGGATTCTACTACAAAACTCAAAACTTAGAAGTGATCAAGAAATACAGCAGTGTCTCAGGTTACAAAATCAACACTCATAAATCGGTAGCCTTTATATATACCAACAAAAGTCAAGCTGAAAAAACAATCAAGGACTCTATTCCATTCACAGTAGTGCCAAAGAAGATGAAATATTTGGAAGCTTACTTAACAAAGGATGTAAAAGATCTCTATGAAGAGAACTATGAAACTCTAAGAAAAGAAATAGCTGAAAATGTTAACAAATGGAAAAACATACCATGCTCATAGGTGGAAGAATCAACATTGTTAAAATGTCCATACTACCCAAAGCAATATATAATTTTAATGCAATCCCTATTAATGCTCCACTGTCATACTGTAAAGATCTTGAAAAAAATAATACTTCATTTTATATGGAATCAGAAAAAACCTAGAATAGCCAAGACATTACTCAGAAATGAAAACAAAGCAGGAGGAATCATGCTACCAGACCTCAGACTATATTATAAATCGATAGTGATCAAAACAGCATGGTACTGGCACAAAAACAGAGGGGTAGATGTATGAAACAGAATAGAGAACCAAGGGATGAATCCAGCTACTTACTGTTATTTGATCTTTGACAAGCCAATTAAAAACATTGAGTGGGGAAAAGATGCCCTATTTAACAAATGGTGCTGGGTGAACTGGCTGGCGACCTGTAGAAGACTGAAACTGGACTCACACCTTTCACCATTAACTAAGATGGATTCTCACTGGATTAAAGATTTAAACTTAAGACATGAAACTATAAAAATATTAGAAGAAAGTGTAGGGAAAACACTTGAAGAAATTGGCCTGGGTGAAATTGCCCCCGGGCAATTGCAGCAACATCAAAAATATACTACTGGGACCTGATCAAACTAAAAAGCTTCTGCACAGCCAAGAACACAGGAAGTAAAGCAAGCAGATAGCCCTCAAAATGGGAGAAGATATTTGCTGGTTATATCTCTGACAAAGGTTTAATAACCAGAATCCACAGAGAACTCAAATGTATTAGCAAGAAGAAAACAAGTGATCCCATGTCAGGGTAGGGACTTGAAGAGAAACTTCTCTGAAGAAGACAGGCACGGCTCGGCGCCTGTGGCTCAAGCGGCTAAGGCGCCAGCCACATACACCTAAGGTGGCGGGTTCAAATCCAGCCTGGACCCGCCAAACAACAATAATGGCTGCAACCAAAAAATAGCTGAGTGTTGCCGTCGGCGCCTGTGGTCCCAGCTACTTGGGAGGCTGAGGCAAGAGACTCGCTTGAGCCCAGGAGTTGGAGGTTGCTGTGAGCAGTGAAGCCATAGTACTCTACCCAGGGGGACAGCTTGAGGCTCTGTCTCAAAAAAAAAAAAAAAAAGAAGACAGGCACATACAGATATATGAAAAAATGCTCATCATCCTTAATCATCAGAGAAATGCGAATCAAAACTACTTTGAGATATCATCCAACTCCAGTAAGATTAGCTCATATCACAAAATCCCAAAACCAGAGATGCTGGTGTGGATGTGGAGAAAAGAGAACACTTCTACACTGCTGGAGGGAATGTAAACTAATACATTCCTTTTGGAAAGACGACTGGAGAACACCTAGGGAACTAAAAATAGACCTGCCATTTGATCCTACAATTCCTCTACTAGGTATATATCCAAAAGACCAAAAATCACACTACAACAAAGATATGTGTACCAGAATGTTTATTGCAGCCCAATTCATAATCATTAGGTCATGGAAGAAGCCTAAGTACCCATCGACCCATGAATGGATCAATAAATTGTGGTATATGTATACCATGGAATATTATGCAGCCTTAAAGAAAGATGGAGACTTTGCTTCCTTCATGTTTACATGGATGGAGCTGGAAAATATTCTTCTTAGCAAAGTATGTCAAGAATGGAGGAAGAAAAATTATCCAATCTACTCTGCCCTACTGTGAAACTAATTTATAGCTTTCATATGAGAGCTATAACCCAATTATAGCCCAAGAATATGGGGAAAGGGGAGAGGGAGGGGAGGGGAGAGGGGAGAATGGGTGGAGGGAAGGTGATTGGTGGGATCACGCCTATGGTTCATCTTACAAGGGTACATGTGAATCTTTCTAAATGTAGAATGTAAATGTCTTAGTCTTAACACAAGAACATGACATGAAGGCTACGTTAACCAGTTTGATGAAAATGTTTTAGATTGTATATAAAACCAGCATACTGTACCCCATGACTGCATTAATGTACACAGCTATGATTTAATAAAAAAAAATTGAAGAATAACAAGAACAGATTTGTACTTGACAAAAAGTACTCTGGCTACAGAGAGAACCAAATAATAGGAGAGAGGTAAGATTAGGGAAAAATTAGTATACTCTACAATGGTCTCAATGAGATATGATCAAGGATTAAACTAACAGAGTGGCACAAGTTTTTTTTTTAAAAAGGAAAAGATTAGAAAGACATTAAGAAACTAGTTGGGGGCAGTGCCTGTGGCTCAAAGGAGTAGGGTGCTGGCCCCATATGCCAGAGGTGGTGGGTTCAAACCCAGCCCCAGCCAAAAACTGCAAAAAACAAACAAACAAACAAACAAACAAAAAACTAGTTGGTCATATTATAGGTTGACTGTCAGGTATCTGTCCTGGGGAGAAATCAGTCTGCCATTATCCAAAATGAGGGAAAGAAAGTAATAGGTTGGTTATTTGGCTGGTGGATTGGCCTTGCTGAATTTGATATGATACCTGAGGACACACAGGTTCAATGTACAAGGGGCAGTGAGCAATAAAATCCTATGGCTCCAATATGGGGTCAGGGCAGAAGATGTAGCTTTGTGAGATATTAACAAGTAATACTAACCAGTTAGATAGTAAATGTGGATAAACTTTTTCACAGAAAGTAATGATAATGAATGAAAAAGGAAATATTTAAAAGCGAGGTTAAGAAAAGAAGGAAGATTGGGAAGAACTGACTAAAGAAGTAGGAAAAAAGAAAACAGAAATAGAAGTGGAGCTACAAGAGCCCCAGGAGCTTTGAAATTGCAAGGAGACCAGGAGCTCTGAAGTCTAAAGAGTCCTGTTAGTGAGATAATTGGGTTGATAGTGACCTCAGTGATAGCAGTTTCACTGGATTAGTCTGCACAGGCAATATTAAAACTGATAATCACAGTGGCTCACCTCATGCTCTGGAGAGAGATGTTCCATGTCAGTCCGTAAACATCTGAGACCAGGTAAAAAGTGATTAAGCATTAAATCCTCTGAAATGACTTGGGACAAGGCAGTTAAGGAAATTAAAAAAAGAAAACAATAAAAACTAGTGTATATTAACAAAACAGGGATTGCTAACATATAAAAAAGAAGCCACCTTAAATGATGCCTACAGCATGCTGACCACTCAGAGTAAACAGATTCCCCTCAAATATGACTCTGCATTGGTGGATTAAGTTATCTATGACGAGTCAATTGTGTTTATTCAAACAAATCTATTTATGCCAGTGGTATTAATCACTGTAACATTCCATAATTGAATCATGTTATGTATATGTATGAAATAACACGTGAAAATTAAATCATGTATTCTAATCATATGTCTAAATAAGCATGAAATAAATATTAAAAGATAATATATCCATGACAACTAAATTAAAAGTTTTGGAAAAAACTGATAAAGGCAAACGGCTTAGAACACTACTGTTTAAATATTCTATATATACACAATATATATTTTATATACATAAATTTATATATACTAAAAATATAAAAATGGTAAAGAATTGAGAAAAATAAAAAAATCTAGAAAAATTCTATACTCAGTATCAGAAATATTTTTGGATTTTCTTTTTTTTTTTTTTGGATTTTCTTTAAAGAAACTAAAAATCATAGACAACTGCATTATAAATATGGTTTATCTGAAAAAGAAGATGTTAACTATACACAGCAGATTCACACAAAATAAATACCTTAGTCCTAGAAATACATTTGTATATCTTAAGTTAAAATAAGTTATATGTTGAGCTGGATAAGACAGCTTTTGCTTTAACAGGAGTATTTACCTTAAGTTCAGTACTACTTATAGTTCCTGCTATGAGTTTGACTTAATTATCTTGCATTCAAAAGTATCAGGAAAGTAGAAGCATTTCTCAAAAATATAATTCATCTTGTTTATTTATATCAATTCTCGTACCTTATCCTGGTTGTTAACCATTTAAAAAACAGCTCTTATTTAATATAATACCACATGAAAGTGAAAAAAGTTCATTTCATTAGTGTTTGATAAAAATTTATAATCAATTTCACTATGAAAAAAATCAGTATAATATATAACTAATACCTTGAAAATACATTTATAAATAAAAATTTTGTTCCTAAACAAAGTTTCTATGATGAACGATCAATTTTAGGTACTAAAAATATAGATACCATTTGTTTGAACCAAATTCCTATCGTTATCAGGCCTGCAATCTAATGATCACGCAGTTTTCTAGATACGGGGAAAGTACCAGTACCACCAATATATAACTATGAGTGACCTTTGGAGTCTCATTTAGAGACTATGGGCATAGGTTGAGAAACTGATGATGGCCATATATGGAGAGAAGAGGGAAGTAATTCTTCTCTTTCTCTTCACTGTTGAGGCCTACCTTTTCCTCATGGAATCATTTAGTTTTATCAGATATTAGGGGTCACCTTTTCCTCCTCAGTGAATGATCACCAGAAGGCCTCTGTCTGATAACAATGAGGGAACACTCATAGTTTCATAAGGGAGATCATTGCATTTTTATTAATTAATAGAAAGCTCAATTACAAAGTTTTTCTTATAAACAAAATTGACCTCTGTAACCACTGCTTGTTAACGTTAGCTCTGTACCTTAGTTATACAGTGTGCCTATACTTCCCCCTAATGACATTTAAAAATAATTGTCAAATTATCTTTTCATCCCCAAGCCATCTTCTATTAGTTTAATTCCACTAAAAGCAGAACTTATCATTCCTGATTTATCTTGTTGGCATTTTCAACTTACAGCAGACAGAGGAAGCAAACATTCCCATTTAAACATTTCTAAATTCTTTAAACTTTTCTGAACTGTGACTTCTTATTGTGGCAAACGTTATAAATGATAGTTTTTCTCATGTCCTTATTAAACCAAGGTGCCAGTGCCAAAAGGAATATTCTTACGTTCTGATCAGCTCAGGATGTAATGGAATTGCAGAAAAGATTTGGACAACGTGATTTTATTAGTAGCCAGATTACCCTGTTGACTCAAGTACAAGTTGACTCAAACTCACATCAAACTCAAGCGTGAGTTTGATCTGACTCAGTATAACTAACACTTTTAGTATCTGAATAAGGACTATTGTTAAGATGGTTCTTCTCCTTACTGTATTCATATAAAGATATTTTACTGTATTTACCCTATGCATAACAGTCTATGCATATCTACACATGCAATAATTTTCCTTCTACATAGATTTCTACGCTCTTTGGCAACCACTGCCTTTCCCACTTGGCAAACTTGGCTTTTAGAGCTAAAAATTTTGAACTTTTGACTTTTACATTTTCCTTGAGGCATATTTCTTCAGAAACTCTCTGCTATATAAGATTATAAGTAATTTCTTCCTTAAGTTTTGAATATTTACTTTTACAAAGTCTAATAAATATGCCAAATATTCTCTTTCTTTCAGATCCACACTGATCACTATTACCTCCTTGCAAGGCTCTGTCACTTCTCCATTACTCAAGAATTCTTTCTTAGTGCTACTTTGGAATATCAGTTCCTCTTTTTGCTTCCTGTCTTCTCGAAGTTGAAAATGCCAACAAGATAAATCAGGAATGATAAGTTCTGCTTTTAGTGGAATAAACTTATAGAAGACTTATGAAGAGTTGTGGTACAAAATTATTAAAATATGGTGTCTCTCCCCACTTTATAATCTTTCTTATAAAAAATATGGCTTACAGTCATTACCTATATGACTAGGTCACTTATGCAGATTGCTGAAACAAAATAGTCTCAACTGCATACCTAACTTTAAGTTTTTTTTTTTTTTTTTAGACAGAGCCTCAAGCTGTCCCCCTGGGTAGAGTGCCGTGGCATTACAGCTCACAGCAACCTCCAACTCCTGGGCTCAAGCGAGTCTCCTGCCTCTGCCTCCCAAGTAGCTGGGACCACAGGCGCCCGCCACAACGCCTGGCTATTTTTTGGTTGCAGCCGTCATTGTTGTTTTGGCGGGTCCGGGCTGGGGATTCGAACCCGCCACCTTAGGTGTACGTGGCTGGCGCCTTAGCTGGTTGAGCTATAGGCGCCGAGCCCTAACTTTAAGTTTTAATGTTTCTAAAAGGATATGTAGTTCTTTAACAGACAGCTCTTTTATTCTTTTTAAAGAGTGATCTCTTAATTTCTTATTGTTTTAAATTTCAGAATATTATAGGGGACAGTTCTGCTTTTCTACTTTCTCTATTTGACTAATTCTGAACAAAAGTAATCTCCCAGTGGTAAATTCCAGTCAAGAATCCAGTGTCAATGAATGTCAGTGGTATTTTAAGACACATTTAACTCACTAAAATTCTGATTATATTGTTTAGCATGTACTTTTATAGTTTTTCAGTATTTAGCTTTTTACTATTTCTTTTTTTTTTGGCAGTTTTTGGCTGGAGCTGGGTCTGAACCCGCCACCTCCAGCATATGGGGCTGGTGCCCCACTCTGTTGAGCCACAGGCGCCGCCCGCCTTTTACTATTTTTTCAATCTCTTATTTCCCCTTTCTTGAACTCTTCTGCCTTTTAATAAGAAAGCCTAGAAGTTGAAGTTCATCTTGCCTATCTTTGTCTTTACTTCCTAGTTTTATTTTACTAGTCTTAAGATAGTAAAAAGAACATTTAACAGGACAGCTATAGGTTCTTTGTTTCAGACACAGTTTTGCCTTTAATTATTAAAAAACAGAAGTCACTAGTATCTTTAAGCTTTAGTTTAATCGTTTACAATACAGTAGTTGACACGGGCTTAGACGATCTCTAAGTTTTCTTCTAGTTCAGTGGTTTCTCAACCTGTGGATCGTGACCCAGAGGAATTGTATTAAAGGGTTGTGGCATTAGGATGGTTGAGAACCACCGTTCTAGTTCTACAATCACCGCGGATGATTAGATAGGGTGGCTTTGTAATTTTTCAATCTCGCTCTCTAAGAGATATTCACAGTACTTCACTGGATGTTGACAGTTAAACATTCACTGAACAACCTAAATGCCAGGGCATATACAAGGCTTCTTTCTGATTAACAGAACTCTCAGCTACAATTCATCTTGCCCTTCATTTCTTGTTCAGTTACACAGCTGATTAACATAAATAAAACATCAGGTTAAGAACCTCATCAATGTTTTCAAAACTATAGGACATATAAACATAGAGTATTTAAAATTATATTTTAAAATCATGAGATGGCTAGAATAAGAAGCGGGGCAAATCAAATTTTTAATTTTCTACAGTCTTTAAGAAAGTTGAAAACAAAGTTCTACTTTTCAATCTTTAATAACTGAAGTTCACTGTAAGATTGGTCATACAAATGTAGACACACTTTAACACAGTAAGGATACAACAACAGGAAAGTGCACTGTAGGCTTCAAAAAGATGGGTAGCAATATCCAGTCTTTTAGAATCCACAATTTGTAAGTTGTTCACCAAGGCTAATTTATGCAAATGTGGTATAACAACTGAAAAAAAGAAAAGATTACATTTTTATGCAAAACATGTATACAGAATCCTGATATACTTTTAAAATCACTTATCATTTTAACTTATGAAATTTCATTTTAGTTCTGGATGATACCAAAAGGTTACATATACCCTACTCTTGTTTTTTTCTTACTGGGGAAAAAAAGCACGTTTTTCAGAATAAAAGTGATGTGGCATTTGCGAGAAGCAGATTATAGCACTACCACTAATTATGAGGATGTATACAGGTCATTTGGCTTCGCTGTAATTCAATTTCCCAATTTAAAAAATGAAGGCAAATAAACAAATATAAATCCAATAGTACCACTGCCATTAAATAAAAGGTAAATAAGGTACACCTATGCTTTTTCAACAACAAATTACTTCACTCCTTTATAATACTATTATTAGCTTTAGTTTCTTGAATTTTTTTTTTTTTTTTTTGAGACAGGGTTTCACTCTGCTACCCTGGCTAGAGTGCAGTAGCATCATCATAGCTCAATGCAACCTCAAACTTCTGACCTCAAGCAATCCTCTTGCTTCAGCCTCCTCAGTAGGACTATAGGCATGTGCCACCATGCTTGGCTAAATTTGCTATTTTCTTTTAGAGATGAAAATCTTGTTATTTTGTTCAGGTTTTGTCTCAAACTCTCAGCCTCAAGCTATCTTCCTGCTGGCCTTGGACTCCCAAAGTGTCAGGATTACAAGACTGAGCCACCAGGTCTAGTCTACTTTCTCAAATTCTTAGTGAAGACTAATTAAAGTTGTTCAATGAGTTTAATACCCTCAAAGAATAATGTAAAATTTCAACCTACTGCTAAATGTAAGTGATGGCCCAAGAAGCAATAGCCAATTCAGTAGCAATGAACACTCCTAGCGCCTAAGATTGTTCTTTGAAGAAATGGCTTCACAAGAATCCAGTGTACTCAATTCTGATATGAGGACAATTGACACTAGTACATGGCAGGGGGTGGGGAAATAGGGGAGCAGAGAGAGGGACAGATGGGGGAATGGGGGTCATGGTGTGTGACACACCTCTTGGGGGTAGGACACAATTATAAGAGGGACTTTACCTAACAAATGCAAACAGTGTAACCTGGTTCTTTGTATCCTCAATGAATCTCCAACAGTAAAAAAAAAAAAGAAATGGCTTCATCATACAACCCCTTTCTAGTCTCTGATTGGTTGGGAAACACAAAACAACCACTCTAAGTACAAACTGTTGACCAAATACATAAAAGCTACAATCTCCTGGAAGAACTCCTGCTTCCTAAATAAGCCAAGACTATAATCACAACTTCCATGCTTAACTTAGTAAACGGCAAAAAGTTCCACCCCCCAAAAACTTAGAATAACAAGGGCCATTTTTTAGGGGGCTTTTTGATTTGTCAAAATGAACAAGATACTCAAGAAGAGGTCTAGAAAAAATTAGGACATAAAGACTCCAAACGGTCAGTCATCAGTTTCATTAATTAGTATGCTGATGCTTGAACAAAATAGTGACTGTAAGAGTCTCTCTCAAAGGCCCTCTTGTTCATTTCTGCCCAAGCCATCAGAAGCTTATCCTCCTTGCACTTTATCTAGTTACGCATAGCCCCTTTATTCCTTCCTCTCCTGAGTTCTCTGACCTTTCCTCAAAGGTCAACATCCTCTTAAAATTGCTTAACTAGAAAATAATTCTATAGAAGTTAATTTAGACTCTATTTGTAAAGGCAGTTAAAGGCTATAACTAAAGATCTTTCTAATTCTCAGGAAGACAAGATAAAAATCTATAGAATTCAAGATTTCATTATATACATATTGTCCTGGCCACCATATTTGTATTAATTAACTCAATTAATTAGAAACTCTTCAGATGAAGAGAAATAGTTAAAAGCAATAAAAGATTAAACACTAGGAAAAAATTCAATAATCAGGTAGATGGGTATAATTCCTTTTTTTTGGGAAAAGGGATGGGATCTCACCATGTTACCCAGGCTGAGGTACAGTAAGTATTCACAAGTTTCACAGGTATACTACAAGCCTCAAGCTTTGGGGCTCAAGTGATATACCTGTCTCAGCTTCCTAAGTAGCTGGGCCTACAGGGCATATGGCACTGCACCCAGCTTAGAAGTGCATAGTTGTAGAACTGACCTTCATTGCGAAAGAAAAGAAGGAAATATTTAACAATGTCAATACAGACTTTTTCATCTGGGAAGATGGACAAAGATTGAAAATTACAAGCAAAATAAAATAAGTCAATAGGAAATTTTATAAAACTGTATTTCAGAAAACTTAAAAAAAAATCTCTGTATTAACAAAAATTTTCAGAGTCTTACAAAGTAAAATAGCTGAAAACAAAAAACAACTATACAGTATTCCAGATAAAACAATTGTGAAGCAAAATCAAGACCAAAATATCTTATGATAAGTAAGAAGTGAGAAAGAGGTCAGGCAAGGTGGTTCAGGCCTGTAATCCTAGCACTCTGAGAGGATGGCCTAAGCACAAGAGTTTAAGACCAGCCTAAGCAAGAGGGAGACCCCATCTCTACTAAAAACAGAAATATTAGCTAAGTGAAATAAGCACACCTATAGTCACAGCTACTTGGCTGAGGCAGGAGGACAATTTGAGCCCAGGAGTTTGAGGTTGCAGTGAGCTATGATGAGGTCACTGTACTATAGCTGGGGCACTACAGCAGAGACTCTGTCTCAAAAAAAAAAAAAAAAAAAAAGCCAAAAGAATTAATGCCTTATATTTGTTAAGAAATATAGAGATACATATCTAAGTATCCAAAATGCCACTCCTAAGGAGACATTACCAACCAGAAATTCCCTAATTCCCTGTCTTTCCTCTTAATTCCCAAAGTGAATTGTTCATAAATATGGATAGATAACAATATAGCATTCTTTTCTGGTATGGGTTCTACTCCACCATTTATCTTACTAATATACAATATTAAATTCTTCAGGGTAAAGCTCTAAAAGAAAAGAGAAAGCTCTTGACTGGGAAGGAAGGACCAAAAAAAAAAAAGACTGATTTTTAGCTAAAAAAAAAATGCTGCTTGTGCCAAAATCTGAAAGATGACTGTGGTAAGACATACTTGGGGGTATAGTTAGGAAGTTGTAGGAAGCTTCAGAGATAACGGTTTACTAGACTTATTCAAGCAGTGTGAATTTCTAAACTAATTCTTTTCTCAAGCCAACCTTTAACTGTTATTTTGGGATCATTATGAAAAGAAAATTCCTTTCTTCTCTCTTATGCTACTCCCACAATTGTATTAGGTAGGCATTTACTCTATCAAGAAAGCTACCAAATGAAATTGAAGGATTATTTTTAGAAATTTTAAAAAACTGTACAAAGAGACATTAAGACACTGATAACTATGTTTGATAAGAACAAGTACAACACCTGACCTTAGCCAAAAGACTGAGAAGAAATTTTACTATGTTTGATTTCAGAAATGACTCTAGTTTCAGAATTATTGCAGACAAAATACTCCCAAAGATATAATAATTGGAGCAGAGCCTATAAGAATCTACATCATCATAAATCTTTCTTTTGAATGTATATAAAAAGTTAGATTATGGACTAACTTTTGGAATAATAATTTTTGGTGCTTCATACTCAAAGAATAATTGTCATAAATGTTGAAGGAGTAAAAAGAGATACTATGGGAACTAGAAAATATTTAGCAGATAATCATGCAGATCATTTAGTAAATCAACAAGTCATGAATTAAAACAAGTGATGCATCATGTTTAGTGGTTTTCTAAGTGGGAGAAATACATACTTTCCATATGAACATGTCTAGAAACACAAAAATTTCCATAAAAATAAAAAATATAAGTAAAAGGCAACACAGCATTTCACAATTAACAGTTATTAAGAAATGTTTCTACAATAATTTGAAATAAGTTCATGAGTTCTTTTTTACATCACATAGCAATCAGTACACAGTTTAAGAAACCACCCATTAATAGCAATACTGACCAATTTATAATAGCTAACTTGTTTCACTTTCAGTATGTGAAAGATGCACAGCAAATCTTTAACACATGACTTCTGGCTTAGAGAAATCCTTAGAGAAACTTCTGGCTTTTATCTTAGATTACAATTCAGAGAAAAAAGGTACAAAAATGCAACTTACACTCATCTCGAAACCTGGGTTCTGCATTAGGCCCAACTCTACCAAATGTTTTTATGATCTCTGTATGCAAAGAATGCTGGTCTTGATATTGAGGATCTTCCAGAAAAGAAGCCAACTGCATTTTCACTCTTTCTAGCAACTTAAAATTGGATAATGTACAGTCATTTGAAAGAATATTAAAAAACTGAGTAGCGTTGTTGAAGTGAAAGATACACATTAAACATGGCTTACAGCAGTGGATTCAAACAATTTATATCCCCATGACAGTTTTAAAAATGTGTTATTAAATAGTTATGAATTTTTTGGCTCAGAAAAGGTGTCACATCTTTGTTTATGCTTGTGAATTCTTAATTTTTTAAAAACATTAATGTCCGCCAACAAACTGCAAGAATAAAAGAAAAAAACCCTACCATATTCAGAGAAAAGGAGATAAGTTTATGATGATTTTGTAACTAAAGTATAATTCTTAAAACAATTCACATTGTAAGTTACCCAATTATTCACCTTCTGAAAGCAATGAGTCATAAATGACTTACATCTTACTCATATTTCCCTAAAAGACATTTTTATTTTAGGATTTAAGAACATGTTGAAATTCTGCCAAGACTGCAAGCTTTGCAAAATGATGTACATTTTTTTCTGTTGCTTTGCCAGTGAAATATATAAGTGAAAAAAGGGAAAATGTTCTTTAAATTTAAAAAAAATTGATTTTTTTTTTTTGGCCAGGGCAGGGTTTGAACCCGCCCTTTGAAATATGGGACTGGCGCCCTACCTTTTTGAGCCATAGGTGCTGCCCAATTATTTAGTTTTTGTTATAAAAAACCTGTAAAAAGAAATTTTATTGAAATTTTTCTTTTCTGGATAAAATAGCCATTATATGGAAAACCTGTTTTCCATCTAAATGACTAGATAATATGTCCACAGATAATTTATTTTCTAATTTACAGAGTTTTTCACTTATATATGGACATATCAAATATAATAAAAAAGAATAAAATTTTGATAACTGCCCTATAGTTAATGTTGCAGATAGAACCTAAAAAACTTGAAATGAAATCATAGTTTCAGAATCAAAATATACCCTTAGGGAGAAAGACCTTGGATATGTCCTGGAAGAAGCATGACAGAGAGTTTGCACAATGATAGACTCTGTAACAGATGATAACAATCCACTAAATGTCTTTACAGTTTGATGTCAATGACACAGTTATCATAATACAGGTGTTCACTCATCTTCATTTGTAAAACTAAGATGGATCTGTGTTCCTAATGTTATATGGCAAAGTAGTCTTCAAATCTGTGCATGTTGGCAATCAAGAATTTATGTAGATTGGCTAAAAGTCTACTGAATAATAGGAGACTTTGGGACTATAACTGGTTTGAAGGGTTATTCAAAAATTGCAATATGCAGCCCAGGCTTAAAATAGAACATCCAGGCATTGATGTATACTTAATTTTCTGATAGAGAAGAAAAACAAGAGATTTCCTTGGGACAGGGAAATATACCTGAGAATGTAGAAAGTCATTATGCTTCCTGCTCTCTGCCACCAGGCACATGTATGGTAATGTATCATCATCACTTCAATGGTATACGAACATAAATAAAATTTCAATTAATTCCTACCTCTCTTTGAATTACGGTTTCCATAATAGTGCCAAAGGCTGGAATTGTGGCAATCCTGACAGAGCTGTTAGAATTAAAAAATAAAGAAACTGAAACTGTGAGATTAAAAATGAATATTATTAAAATGTATATCAAAAGTAAGTACAAGGTAAATATATTGTATTAGTCTCTAGCAATGACAAATAAAAAAAAAAAGCAGACCAAGAAGAATGCTCAAAAAGACAGACAGGATAACTTAAGGTCGCAGTCTGTGAAACTCACAATTCAGGATCACTGGACAAGGTAACAAGGGCCGGAGCAACCCGCTTGTCAACTAACGCTTCACTCATGCCTCGAAGAGTCAGCTGTAAACCAGTCAACATGCAATAAAAAATGGTTTGGTAAACTGGAATGAGAACTGGGTTAGCTGTGACTGAGGATGGGCAGGCAGACTCATTGGCCTTTCTTGGTTTAGTCATCCACACGAGACATTAAAATGTTAAGCCTTTGGTTCATGCTATTACGCTTACTGGTAAGAACCTGTTAGTGAGATTAGCAGAGCATCCTTTCTTAGCCTGAAAGAAAACAGTCCATCAGCTTGTTTTCAGTTTAGGAAATGTTTATTGAGCAGTGATACTGCTAATATTTATTTAATACATGGCCTCCAAATGAGACTTACAGAGAGGGTTGATTAAAAAAAACATGATATATGACCAGTAACACAATAAAGTTTAAAATCAAATAAGCATAATCCAGTATTATCACTTTAGAGAGAGTCTTCAATAAATTTAAAAGCTGATGGCTATTTCTTGACAGGCACATTTCAAAAGGGATGCTGAATATAAAAGGCAGGGACAACACTTACATTTCAGGGTCACTGGAGAGAGTAATGAGAGCAGGAACAACCCTCTGAGCTACCAGAGTTTCATTCACCCCCTTCACCAACAGCTGATTGGTCAGCGCAGGGGGTATTCACAGGTGATGCATGGAAAGAGCAGACACAGTGCGCCATGGGAAGAAGAAAGGAACAAACAAGAGAAAGAGAGAAAACACAAAAGCAAAACCAAAATTAGAAGCTAAGCAAATATTGCTACTAGAGTGCTTTACAAAGGCAGAGAATGCTTAGGAGGAAAATAAAGCTTAAATAGCCTAGCAGTCCACAAAAACAGATTTTGTTTCCCATTCAATGGCAGTTTGTACTTTTGGTCAAATAGTCTGTGCAATTTCAATGTCAATTAAAATGCAACTTAAGGGTGGAGCCTGTGGCTCAGCCAGTAGGGTGCCAGCCCCATATACCAAGGGTGGCGGGTTTGAACCCGGAGAATTGCCTCAGCCTGAGAGCTGGAGGTTGCTGTGAGCTGTGATGCCACAGCACTCTACTGAGGGGAACAAAGTGAGACTTTGTTTCTTAAAAAAAAAGAAAGAAAAATAAATAAAATGCAACTTAAAAGACAACTTTACTTCTTAAAAAAAGAAGATAAAAGGAAGACAAATATTGGGTTCTGTGGTTAAAATACTGAAAGTAAATGTGGTGTGATTTTATAATGTATGACCAAAAAGGTACAAACTGGGATGTTTTTAAACCAAACTGAAATGGCTAGCAGCCACCACTAAAGCACTTATTATTGTTCTATAGCAAGTACATTTAAAAACCACATAGGAAAATTCCTAACCTTTTAAGTCACATAGGTTTCTTTTTGACATAAAGAGATCTAATGTAGCTTACTGGAAACTATTACACTCGGGAATCAGATCTAGCTTCAGACTCCAGTCTTTCACTTATTAGCCATGTGGCCTTAGATAATCTCTTGAAACTGAGTTTTCTCATCTGAAAATAGTATACTATCATCTACCCCAAAGGACTGTTGTGTTATTGATTTGCACCTAAAATGCCTAAAAACTGTGTCTGTCAAAGAGTTAGACATTCAAGAACTGAGAATTTATTCTGACTATTCCAAGAATATGAGATTTGTGATGTACTTGGACAAAAAAATTAATTAAAAGAACTTTTAGGTGGTTAATGTCTATTCTAAACAGGTCTTTGTTGTACATTTCTCTATAAGCTGAAATAAACTTTAAAATAAGAATGATGCACAGAATTAGATCTCTATAATCTAATCATAAAAATTCATTTAGTAGCCAATGCTAAACTGCAAAACTGGAGGTTAACATTGAAAGATATGCATTTTGTTTTATATATACTGTTGAATTTTTTGAGTTCAGTAGAGAAGTGCAACCCTTTCTCAATCTCAGAATATAAGCGCATATTCATACTAAATGCTCACAGATCTGTTTGCCTAGTAATGGAACTAGTCCTCACAGAAGATTAAAGAGCCATGGAAGTTTTTTTTTTTTTGCAGTTTTTGGCCAGGGCTGGGTTTGAACCCACCACCTCTGGCATTCTGGCATATGGGACCAGTGCCCTAGTCCTTTGAGCCACAGGCACTGCCCCAGAGCCATTTAGGTTTTGTTAACAAAAACTTAGCACTGTGGGCATGTGTTAAGGCATTCCTATACAACACACCAGAGAGAGCATAGCTCACTCATGTGAAGATTCTTAATCTTGCAACAATTTGTTACCATTTACCAAGGGACTCATTTTAGAATCATCTTCAGTATTCTAAAATAATTTTCATAAAAAACCCACAAATACTTAGGAAGGAATAAAATGACAATGAACTTCTGTTATTTCCTTAAACATTATAGATGTCAGTTAGAAAGAAATAGGTCAAGAAAGGTAAATAAACTTTTAAATAAAATGTTCTGCTCTCTATTATTTAAAATAGCTTAAATTTAAATCAGTAAAGTGTATCCTGAAAGTCTGCTATCTTGCACTTTATAAAAGCATTAAAAAAGAGGATAATCCAGGGGACAAGTTAATTTTTTACTGTTCTGGGATTTTTAAGTTCAATTTCTGCATTAAACTCTACAATCAGAAAGGAATTTAAGAGCTATCTATTTTCATATACACATAATATATCATTTGATCTTTGCACAATAAGCACAAGTATTATTTCACTAGAAGTTAGAGAAGTTAAATAACTTGTCCAAGGTTTAGAGCCTAAGCAGTGGAGCTAGAAAATGAACTTAGTCTCGTCTGACTCATAAATCCATGGCTTCTTTGAGCTGTGGTTTAATGCTACACCCTCATTTCCTTATGATTGATATAAGAGACAGTTATATGAAGTTCTTTTCTGCATCTGTTGGGAAACCTATCATGTCACAGTGGAGCAGATTTCCCTTATAAAATAATTTGATTAATTTGTTACATCACAATGTAATATATGGCCTCTTATTTAACAATGAGAGTAATGTGATTGATTGGATTCCCTCTTTTTGTCCTGCCATCTAGAAGCTAAGCTAATTATATTGTACGATTTCTCAAGATTCTTATATTATGCTGGTATATGCATTTTGTACTTTAAAAAGCAAGAACAGTTTCTGATCTTGCTTTTTAAACACAGAATTTAAATATCTTGTTTTTTATGTTTTTATTTTGAATTACCTCATTTTTAGGGGAAGCAGGCACAATTCTAAATTACTAAGGATTGGTATCAAAAGAAATCTTATGAGCAGTATTTATTTTTTCAATCCCATTTTGTTCAAAGTAATGATCATTGATAAAAAGGAAATTTAATTTCTTCTACTGATAACTTTTTTGATGTATTCAGTTAAATTTTTAAAATCATGAATGAATCTGAAAAATATTGAAATAATCTCTCAAACTCCAAAGTTCATAACTGTCCTGGGAGAACACTGCAAACTGCTTAGGCACAGGTAGTTTCCAGACCACCACTGACAGCAAACGTAGCAACCAAAACCAGACAACAGCCACATGTAAGAAATAAGACAGAAAAATGAAGCAAATAAAGAACCCCAAAACAAATAAAAAGGGATGGTGCCTCATTTTACTTATTTTCATTTACATGGTTTGCTTCACCAGTGCATATATATATTTTAGAGACAAAGGGTTTAAGAGAAAGAAATAGTTTTTATGGTCTTAGGATGAAATCCTGTGAGGAGAATGTGTGAAAAAAATGGTTTCTCATTTAAAATGACATTATTTTTCTTTTGTAGGGGAGCAGGGACTGAAGAATGACTCTTCTTTCACTGTAATGACCTCTTTCAGCATACTGAATAATTACAATTATTTATATGCAGAAGAAACTTGTACTAGACATAGAACTAAACTGTTACTTTGCCATTCACCTCAACAAAGAACCTGTGATTATAGCTTTTTTGATCACATGTGTATAATAATTAAGGGAATAACATGGCAAAGAATTTTCAACTTCCTAAAAACAATGGAATTTTACTTAGTTTCCACAAATCTAATTTCTATATTTAAAAATTTCAGAAGGCATATATTTTAAATATATTAGTGCCCTCTCCTTTTGATTGCAATTTATTTTAAAAATAAGTTGTGAAATTCATAAAGATGTGAATTATCCAATTCTCAGGAAACAAATGCTTTAAAATATTTTAAGAATCACATGCATACGGGGGCTATTTTAGTTTAGGTAAGTATATATATTCCGTATATTATAATATTATTTTGTTTTACAACAGTATGGATTTAAAAAAAAACAATAATGATAATGATAGTTAATATTTATTATAATCATTTATTATAACCCAGACACTATTTTATGGGCTATTAATTCATTTAATAGTAACAAAAATCCTTTGAGATGGATACTTTTATTATCAACTTCACCTTGTAGATGAGGAAACTAAGGCACGGAGAAGTTCAAAATTGCCTAAATAATTTACTAGGTGGCAGAGATTGAAACTGAACCCAGGTAGCCTAGCTCTATGGCAAAACTCAATGAAGTTTTAAAAATATGTATATAAAGATATACTTAGGCTATGACATAGTTTGCTATATGATGGGTACAAAAAATAAGTATTTCAATTTTCATACTTAACTGGGCAAGGTGGCAATTTAAAAGATCTAGGCAAATTATATTAACAGTCTCTTCTCTTTAATAAGTTCATGGACACTTACTGTACTGAAGTGTTATTCTACATGTAATATGTGAAGGGAATAGTAAAGTAGGAGTAATTAATAAAATAACTATTTCCATAATTGCATTAACTGATTTTCTAATTCTACTGATGAACTCAACTACATTTTATAAACTTGAAAGATAACTTTAGTTGTTTTGGTTTATTTTAGTAGTGTTTACCACAACAAATAGAAAAGTATAGTCAGAAAGATTTATATAGGATAGCGATTAAAATAAGATTTAAAAGATAGCACTGATAATAAAATAACATTCAAGGAACCAATAAGGCTAGAAAATATTCTTAAATATGTCAAAGCTAACTTTCTGCCCCATCACACAGTACACAACCAGACATTGTTCAATGCCATAAAATATATATCAACATAACATGGTAAGCAAAGCCTTTAAAAAACAAGAACAGTCACTTTAAAAAAAAAAAAAATCATATAACTGGAACCAACAGAAGCATTTGTTGACATACCTCAAACATTCTAGCAGCAGTACACCTCACGAGTGCTGAAGTATGGACAACACCATACCACAAAACCGTTAACAGCAACTCATGGTAGGCTGGATTTGCACTAGAAGAAAAAAATCAATGTTGACATTGAGAGATGCAGAGCCTTACTAGTGTACTGAAAACTATATTTAAAAAGAATATTGGCAGAACATATGGAACTGGTTAACAGGTCACGGCTAAGAATCTTTCAACAAGGAAGGCACTTTATATAACACAAACTTTTAGCATATTCAGAAATCACAATTTCAGCTTTTCTAAGCATTTGCAGTTGAGACAGAAATGTCTACTCTTTAATAGCATGCAAGTTAAAACTATAAAGAAAGAAGATAAAATTTTTCTAAGAGAAAAAAAGAGCACTAGACTAAGAGTCAGATGGGTAAGTTATAATTTCTGTGGCTCTTAGTTTCTATATTTATAAATAATGAGAAAGTAGTACATGTCCTATTATATCATATAGCTGTTAGAAGGTCAGGTCAACTCAAACCATCTATCTATCTGGGAGAGTACCTATCCAAATGTAAGGTGGTATTATTAATAAATGCATAAACCTGTTCTCAATAAAGACGGAGAAAATACTATGTTAGCAGCCAGATGATATGATTACATGTAGGACTAAGCCAGTCAAACCGAATGAAAAGAGGAGCTTAAGGAGTTGGTTTTCCCTTGGAGCTCCTTTTTCAGTTCTGGGAAACTAACTTTTCCTCAAATTTGTACTTGATTTTATTTCTCCAACTGCTTCAGAGAAAACATACGTCTGTATTTTTTTCCTACTTTTAAAACTTACAATAGATTGATTATAAAATATTAAGAATGTATAAATAGGCAAAACTAAAATCACCCAACTCCCAGAAGTCTCAAAACCAAACGAATAGGTGTATATGTTACTTTTTTTAGACTTAAAACATGTACTCTATAAATCTAATTTTAAAACATTATGTGCCTTTTAAAAAACTATAAGCTGGTATTTTTTTATACCCCAGTTCCACAAAAGAAGCCTTCAGGCTATCAAGAGGAGCATGAGATAACGAGAGCAGGGTCATTACATCTTCTAAGAATCCAACTAGCAGTTTTCGGTCTTCTTCCTACAGAGGAAAAATACTGATAATGAATTTCCAAACTGTCAAGTAGAACTAAATACCATAACTACATATTTATAACTAGAAATGTTACCAAATGAAGGGATAATATCCTAATTTGGAAGCCATTTTAATTAAAGATATTTATTAAGCATATCTATGACCAGGATGGTATAAGGACAAAGATTATCTTGATTATTTGATTTAGACTTGTGTTGTCGAATACAATAGCCACTAGCCACATTTAAATTTAGATGAAAAATTATGTGAAATGAAAGATTCAGTTTCTTAGTTGCACTAGCTACAATTCAAAGGCTTCATGTCCTTATGTGGCTAGTGCCTATCTTGTTGGACAACTCAGATAGATACAGGTTACTTCTTTTCTTTCTTTCTTTTTTCTTTTTTGAGACAGAGTCTCACTATGTCACCTTCGGTAGAGTGTACTGACATCACAGCTCATGGCAACCTCAAATTCATGGGCTTAAGCGATTCTCTTGCCTCAGAGACCCAAGTAGTTGGGTCTACAGGTGCCCGCCACAACACTGGCTAGTTTTTTGGTTGTAGTTGTCATTGTTGGTTGGCTGGCCCGGGATAGATTTGAACCCGCCAGCTCTGATGTATGGGGCTGGTACCCTAGCTGCTGAGTCAAATACAGATTATTTCTATCACTGCAGAAAGTTTTTGAATGGTCTGATTTAGAACATTAAAATGAATAATCTTTTATTAAAATTTACTTTACCAAATATATTTCCCATGAATTCTGGTCCTATGTAGTTAAATACAAATTATATAAACCTGATTTTTAAGAAATTATTTTTACTATATCCTAGTGGTGAAAAATTACATGCTTGGTGAAATACAGACTACTGTGTTCTTTAAAGAAACACTGTACCCCTTGATTAAAAACAATTTGTATTTTTCATTCTTCAATGAACCACTATTACTTTCACAATCAGAAAATATTTCTTTGTATATAACACTCTTATGAAATATGTTTGAAAAAGCAAACCTGCGAAGAATCAATTTAGAGAGTTAAAAAAAATAACTTTATATGTTCAATTAATCTAAATCTATTAAGGGACTAGAATCTGACATTCTATCAGGAAATAAATATATGATAAATTAAAATCAAGCTGTCATTAGGGACATAGGAGGTAAATAACCATTTCTGCATGTATCAATACATCCATAAGAAAGACTAGCTTACCACCTGCCTTTTCCCCCTACATAGTGTAGTTTAGAATGAGGCAGAGAGAAAAGATGAACAGAAATAATGACTAACTTGAAATAAGGATGAACATAGTATAGTTTTAAGACATGGTAGTTTACTTAGTCTATTTAGTAAAAAGGCACACACATTGCCAAACTAACATAGGGCAATGTTGGAATAGACACTTTAGTCATTTTTAGTTGCCTACCATGTCAAACATAAAGCAGACATAACACTGAAAAACAAACTGAAAATCTGAAAACTCTTTTATTAAGAGTGAAATAAGAGCTATAAAAAGTCTTCTAAATGAGCACTAATTCTATTGATTTTTGAAAATATAATCTTATTCTTCATTTTTGAAATCTCAGAAATAATATCGCTTCTGTATCTGATTCAAGATAGCTTTTGTTCACTAAAGCAAATAGGAACTCTGATTTATCTTAAGAAAACTTTTTGTTTGGTAAGAGAAATGTTAACTGCTAGTGTGTGCTTCCTAAAATAAGAAACACTGACAATCTGTGATTGCTACCTCAAGGTACTAAGTATCTTGTAACTAGCTGAAATGTTGTCTCTTTAGAGACATGAATAACATTTAAATTTCATAGCGACTTAAAAGCCATATCCTTATTCATTTATTCAATGGATAAAGGGTCTACTATAAGCCAAACATTGTACTTGGTATTTTTTTATGCTTTAAAATTCTATTTATGGTCAAAATAAAAATACTAACAAAATGTTAAAAGGTTGGCTCGGCGCCTGTGGCTCAAGCAGCTAGGGTGCCAGCCACATACACCTAAGGTGGCGGGTTTGAATCCCCAGCCCGGCCCACCAAACAATAATGACGGCTGCAACCCAAAAAAAATGGCCAGGCGTTGTGACGGGCGCCTGTGGTCCCAGCTACTTGGGAGGCTGAGGCAGGAGACTCGCTTGCCCAGGAGTTGGAGGTTGCTGTGAGCTGTGATGCCATGGCACTCTACCCAGGGGGACAGCTTGAGGCTCCGTCTCAAAAAAAAAAAAAAAATGTTAAAAGGTTAAAAAATAGAGAAAAATATTGACATAACACTTATTATGCTGGAACAGCTTCCAAAATTAAAGAGAAAGGAGAATGGTATGCATAATATTGTACCTGGCACTATGCTTAGGCTCAATATTCTTGATCTCCACGAATTTAAGAACAGTAGAGGCAATCTAATAATGTATGTGACTTAAAATATCAAACACACAGAACAGTGGCCATAGTACAAGGTAGTCTTAGAAACTAGTGTAGAAAAGTAAAATTTAAAATAATATTGTGCTACTCTAACAGAATTAGAACTTCTATTACAAGGAAACCATTGAAAAAGGTATTCTTTCTTCCTTCTTAAATTCTAATTTCTAAAAATGTTTTCACTTGAGTTTTTATTTCCACTTTACTGGTGGGGCTGCTTCATACTTAAAAATTACTAGTATGCCTTGAGGCACATCATGTATTATTTACTTAAAACAATGTTAAATAGAGTGTGGTAGTCTGTTACATTAGGGGGTCACCAGTGAATCAAATTACTGGTTCACATCCTAGCTTACTTCCCTTCTCTTGAATCTGGGCTGAGCCAAGGATTTGTTTAATGAAAAGATTGCAGTAGAAATAATATAGTAATTTCAGGCCTAAACCTTCAGCTAGCAGATTAGGGTTTTGCATTCTTGGAATATGTTAATCACCATGTAAAAAGTACGGCTTTGCTGCTCCAGAGTCCACATGGAGAAAAAGAATCCCTGAGAGTACATGCAAAGTGGAGCTTAACCATTCTGAGATGTTATCAACCAATTTGCTTAACGCAGCAATAGGACGTACCACCAACACAACCAGCAGAAAAGGAGACTGAGTGAAGTCCAGACCCAGATTGCTATGGTTGGGGGATGTTTGTTACACAGTAACAATGAAGAAAAATAAAGTACAAATTTACTATTCCTAATCTTAAAATCCCAAATGCTTGAAAATCTGAAACTTTTTGAGTGCTAACTATGGCACCACAAGTGAAAACCTGTCATGGTTTGTTGTAGCTGCTGTTTAATAGCTGACACAGGTATTCTGGTGAGGTTACTGTGCCTACCACCTCAAACACAATATTTTTTCCACTATATTAATAGTACGTCATATTTTTACTGTTAAGTACTTAGACATGAATAAGTATAAGTACATGATTGTTAATTGGTAGCATATAAATTTGGAGCCAGAAATGATGGTGATGTGATGTCAAACAACCACAGATTATCTACATAGGTGGCTGACATAGTAACACCTTTGGTTCAACGTACCTGAAGTTTTATTTCATGCATAGAATAATTAAAAAATAAAAATACTGCATAAAATTACCTTCAGCCTATGCATGTAAGATGAATATGAAACGAATACACTTTGTGATTAGACTTGGGTCTCATCCCTAGAATTTCTCATTATGTACAAACGAATATTCCAAAATCTGAAACACTTTTAGGTCCCAAGCATTTTAGATAAGTACTTTGCTAAAAATGATGATAAATATAGCATTCTATAGTATTTTGTAGTTTAGTTCACCTAACACAAATGCTTTGTTACTTATGAAAAACTTATCACAAAACACAATTTATTTATTCAACTGAGTTTTTACTGACTTTTATTTTTCAAATATGATCTCCATTATACATTACTTATTGACTACATTAATTTTGTTTTCCTTTATGGTTACCAATTTCACTTGTACATACATTAAGAAGAAATATTAGGTATTTTTCTGAATAGAAAACAATTTCCCTTACCTGAATATAACAAGTAAGAACTCCTGTTGCATAAATAGGGACTGTAGCTTTAGTGAGAACCCCATTTCCTGCTGAAGAATCTAAAATCATTAAAATAATTTAAAAAGTGTGAGTATATTTTAAGTATAAAGAAAAAGTCACAATGCATTTTAAATTAAAATTACAAGTGTTTACTAGATAAAAAATAAATATTATCATTACTTTGAAAAATATTGTGATTAAAACTTATTTCTACTGGTTGGTATAAAACACAATTCAATGTTTCTTAAAGAGTCATTATAAGCATAGACATTTCTGATAAATGAGAAAGAAGATTAGTAACTAAATGAGATGCTATATTCCTATTTCCATATCAGAAATCAGAGCTTTCTTTAAGAGTTGCAGAAGTGTCCATTTAGGCAGGTCTTCCTAAATTTTTATGCTTTCAATTTGTAGTGTTTTGTAAATTGTAAAGGCACTCAGTTAAAAGCTGGCACTTAGATAAATGTCATTTAATCTGCTTCCAGATATGAGATTCTACAGAGTTTCCAGTACAAGCCTAATTCCTGAGCCCCTCCTTATCTTCAATAGGATTTTCAGACAAAGCCCTAGTTATTTTCATGGAAGAGGAAGGAATCAGCCAAAGTAAAGCAGAGACAGGAAAGCATCCAACCATAGGTGTGTGCCCTGTGACTACTGTATGAGACCTTCTTATATAGATCTATAGATAATTTCAAAAGAAAAATCCCGAGATGATAATTATCATTCCCAGCAGCAAGAGTTCTTATTTATTATTGATCAAGGGGCACGGTGTTAAGGATTTATGTTTGCTGTTATGTTCTCAAGAATTTTTTATTACTATATTTTTTACATATGGTTATACATTATTTTCCAAGAGAAGTACATAAAGAAATTGAGTTAAAAAGATCTATTTAACTAACTGCTCTGAAAAAATTCTAGCAGAAAAAGGAAGTTCCATTTTCACATTAATTAGTATTTGAGGTTTGTTTATATTCTTGGTAAGAATAACTTTTTCTTTCTTCTTTTTTGGGGGGGGCGGGGGACAGAGTCTTAAGCTGTTGCCCTGGGTAGAGTGCTGTGGCATCGTATCTCACAGCAACCTCCAACTCGGGCTCAAGCGATCCTCTTGCCTCAGTTTTTCTATTTTTAGTAGAGATGGGGTCTTGCTTTTGCACAGCCTGGTCTCAAACTTGTGAGCTCAAGTAATCCGCCTGCCTCGGCCTCCCAAAGTGGTAGGATTACAGGCAAGAGCCACTGTGCCAGGCCTAAGAATGACTTTTTCTTGCATGGAGTACTCATATTAGTTGAGTATGATGATGGTGGGAGAGGTAAATGGAAGGCTAGGAAATAAGCTTAAACTGGATTCACAGACGTGGAGTATATATACAGGTGTTAATAATCATATCCTATTTGAAGAGCTAAACAAATAATTAATCATAACTAGTAATTCCAAAGCTGTTAATTTTAGACTATGTAATTTTTTCAGAAAATAAACTTTTTTCAGAAGTAAAAAGGTAAAAAGATAATACCAACAATTTAGGGATTCCAAACTTTATCCTTTAAAAGACTATTAAAAATAGCCTTTGGGAAGAAATTTGTCCAAAAAAAGAAAAATGTCATCAATGTCTTCCAATTTAAAAGAATTCATTTATTCATTTTCTAACTACCTCTGAGGATGGCCAAAAATGGAGTTTTTTTTAGACCATTCAAATCAAATTACTAAGGTAGGATTTACATAAGAATTATCTATATATCCAAATCAACCAAGTTAAAAATGGAGGGTGGGGTGGTACTACACATTTCTTCTAATATTTTCCGCAATTTATCCTAGAAACTAGAAAAATTTACAGGGAGATAGATTTATACACACATAAATTATTAGGCCAATAACGCTATAACTGGATTTTTTAAAGACGGATGTCAAAAACTATCCCTAAAGGGGCTAGAATTGTCCATTAAACCTTGTAGTTTCTTTAAAAATCTCATGTTTCATTTAAAAAATATGCATACAGATATTTCATTATTTTCCATCATATGTATTTGTCTTAATTGTTATAAGTTTTAAATAACTATTTGTGAATTAGATGTAGCTTATTTTATAATTTTTGGTACCTTGAATATACTAGTTCAAATCTGTAAGAGTATAAGCAGCTCTAGGTCATTATAGTATAGTGCAGGTAGATATTTACAATCAAACTGATAAGGATTAATCTGACTGCTACCTTATGGGAAGGATTATTAGATGTGACAGCCACAAAACCAAGAACTACACAATATAAATTCTCTCTTTCAATTGTACTTGCTAGTTTATTTTTTACAATTTACAAATAATGAATATGAGATTCAATTGTTTTTAAAAATAATAATGAACAAACTTACCAATATTTTCTTCAGACAGTCTTAAAATCTCTTGGAACTGAGGTTTTACCTAAGCAATCAAAAGAACAGATTCAATGGACCAATTTATTAAATAACATGTTAACTACTACTACTAGTACTATTTATTTATGTTGCTTTATATAGACTATTGAGATAAATGGTCAGAAATGTCATAATTCTTAATTACGAGGCTTAGGATAAAATAAGAGTTAAGTTACTGGAGGCAACATCTGTCATGATAAATATTTTAAAAAATCAATTCAGGTCAACAGTATTTTCTGAATGGTCTTTGGTTTCACTCATCAAATTAAAAGCATTTAGCTGTACTTCAAAACAAGTTTTTAAAAATGAAACGAAAATTTCAGTCATTTAGGGTGATCATTAAGTAACAAATAAATCATGTGATATCCATCTTAATTTTTTGTTATAATTCTTCAACGTTTATTTATCAAATACATAATTTTAATAATTTAAATTAGAGCAAATCTTGGCTTAATTTTTTTTTTATTGAAGTTATCACAGATTTCAGGCCACTGAAGATTTTTTTTTTTTTGAGACAGAGTCTCACTTTATAGTCCCTAGTAGAGTGCCCTGGTGACACAGCTCACAGCAATCTCAAACTCTTGGGCTCAAGCAATCCCCTTTCCTCAGCCTCCCAAGCAGCTAGGACTACAGGCACCTGCCACAATGCTCAGCTATTTTTAGGGATGGGGTCTCACTCTGGCACAGGCACTCCACCCGCCTTGACCTCCCAGGCCACCATGCCCAGCCAGGCCACGGAGAAAATGTACTGTTAAGTGGAATAAGATGATTCCTACTATTCTTTAAAAAAAAAAAAAAAAAGTAGCTTATTGTTTTGAAGATGTCAAACAATTTGTCAATACTGATAATAGTAACATTAAATTATATTTGTTTAACAATTGGATGCTAAGTGATCTTGTCTTTCCTATAACAACATAAAGGTCTGGTTTTTGTCCTCCTCTCCCAAGGTGAGGCACATTCATTTATATATTCAACTTAAACCGAGAGGAAGACCACTGCTAAAAGATTAATCTACTGAATCACACTCTTAGAACTAAGGCAATAAAGTAACTATTTTACACATAAAAAAACTAAGCCCAGATAATTTAACTTATTTATTAAAGTTCACAGACATTAGTCAGCAGGTAATAGTGCCATAACCCAAGTCATCTGAATTTTGTCCTGTTCATTGTGCCACAATGTTTTGCTTTAAATGTTTCAACTACAAATTTAATAGTGAAGAGCTACATTAAATTAAAAGTGATACTTAAAGTGTCTTAATTAATTTTATTTTAACTATATATTTTTATGTTTTTATTAACTATAAAGAACTGCCTTAACAATATGCTATGATGACAAATAAATTAATAGATTTAAAAAGATTAGGATCTAAGGACATCCCCATTTTAATATCTAAAACTACAAAATAACCTGTATAGGCAAATGTGACAAATGATACTTTTGGTTGTGACTGAAATATATAATATTTATCTTAAGTGTCCATGCTATTCTAAGAGTTGGTATCTTTCTAGCAAGTTTTATATATAAGTTGCTGTGGTTCCACAATAGCCTGAGGTTTTTAACCAAAGTATGCTGAGCAAACAGCTGCTTCCTGAACCTGTAGTAGAGACTGGGTGCCAGAAGCATATTCAAAGAATTGTGATTGTTCCCTACCTGATCCTTCCTATATTGAAAATCTATGAGGATATTCAGTGAGTAAATTTTATATCCAAGTATGGTACAAACTTTAGGGAAATCATCTTGTGAAAAATCAGTAAAAAGATATTACCAACTAGAATTTTTTTATCATCATGTTATTCTAGGAGATTGAAAGATAAAGGAAAGGCTTACTTATACTTTTATTTACTTTGTTATAGCATTAACATATTACATTTCTATGTCTCTTGCATATAGGAAAACATGGAATACAAGTTTTTACCTTAGTGTTTGTAAAAATTTTGCCAAATGTCCGGCAAAGGCGCCAGAAAAATCTGGAGAATTCATGGACACAGGCAGTTGAAGTAACATTAATTTTGCCAACTATTTCTATAAGTTGTGGCAACCTGAATATGAAAGGAAAGAAAAATAGGCAGGGGATACATATAAATTACTGTTTCCTTGCCAATTTCTGAAACAATACAAATCCAACAACTGCTCCTATTTTGCTCTTTGAAAGTAAAGAAATTGTTTGGAACCCTTTGAAAAGATCTTAATATAACTACATTTAAACACTTAAAAATCAATTTCAACTGTTTGCTATAAAATATGTGGAATGCTAATGGTAGAGTTCCAAGGATGGAGTTAATGAGACACAAATCTATGGATCTGATGCATCACCCAAGATCTTGGCAAACATGCCATCCATTTTAGCCTCCAAATTTGGAAGTCTAGATGAAATAAAACATCAATCACCACTACTGGAAACAAAGCAGTAGATAAATCCTTCTGATATAATACAGTAGCACCTTCTTCATAATAACTACATGCCCAATGGTGTGAATTTCCTTTCCTAAAGTTTACTGTAGATTGATGATAAGTTACATTGTAAAAATTTTGTTATATTTTGTCCCTCAGGGCCAAAGCTAAATATAGTGAGCTATTTTCCATTCAAATGATTCAGGTACATCAAATGAATGTGGAGGTGGAAACTTACAGTTGATTGACAACCCATAGTAAACTCTCCCAGCCTGTTGTACCCTCGTGTTCTAGTTGGTAGTCATAAAGTTGTAGTAGCACTGCCAATTGCTCACGACTTCCAATAATAGTAGACACATCTTGAAGAGGTGACATAGGCCGAGGAAACCTAGTTACTAAAAATAACAGAAGCAAAATAAATCACATAGAAAATGGCAGTTTATATACTTAGCTTTCTGTCAAAAGGAAAATAATATCCACCCACTCACTTTTAATTAAGTTACTATAAATTGTAAATACATAGCAAACACATTAATCAAGTCATTTTTTACGAAAAAAGAGATTATTCTCACATGTGAACAAATCCAATAAATTTCAAAAGTTAAGCAGATTGTAGAAGACTACATAGTTAAATGGAATACGGTAATAAAACAGTTTGTCAATGAATAATATTTCATTTATATTAACTAAAATTGTCCAAAGAGAAGACTGTTAGATAAAAAATAGATTTGAAGTTGGTTGGAAAAAAATAGAAATATCTGTCATTCTACTGGTCTGTTTACGGCAAGAGAATAGTAAATATGATAAAATGTTTCCCTGGGATCCCCAGCCCGGGCCCGCCGAACAACAATGATGGCTGCAACCAAGAAATGGCCGGGCGTTGTGGCGGGCGCCTGTGGTCCCAGCTACTTGGGAGGCAGAGGCAGGAGACTCGCTTGAGCCCAGGAGTTGGAGGTTGCTGTGAGCGTGATGTCATGGCACTCTACCCAGGGGGATGGCTTGAGGCTCCGTCTCAAAAAAAAAAAAAAAATGTTTCCCTGGGAAGTAAGGAACTAGTAAGTTAACAGTAGGAAAAAAACCAGAGAATATATACAAAATACTGAGAACTTGCGCTGAACAGGTTTCTTTGGTATTTAATTATCAACATCAAATGCTTTATTTAAAAAAAACTTCACAGCTTGACAAACATCAAGTTATTATAAAATGTTAAAGCCAGCAATCAACAAGATAAGGCAAAGTACACTGTAGATATTATAATGAGGGCCCCATGTTATATACTTTAAAAGATTTTTTTTGGAAAACTGAAAAACTTACTTTTAAAATTCTATTAAAAATGAATATATATTTACATGTATACAGATAGATACACACTGATGTTTAAAAAAATTTAAACATATTAATAAAAACTGTGATTCTATAGATAGTAATTTGATTCTATAGATAGTAATTAGATCCTTAATTATTAAAGCAATGCTTCTTGGATGGCTATTAAATGAATAAACCATGCTAACAGCTTATTAACTGTTGGTTTGAAATGTCCAATGGAGGCAACACTAACACAAAAGAAAACACCTTAAAAAGACTTATAAGAATGAAGTACTTTCTCAAAACATGTGTTAATGCCTTAAATATTATTATTATTTTTGAGACAGAGTCTCACCATGTCACCCTCGGTAGAGTGTTGCGGCATCACAGCAACCTCAAACTCTTGGGTTTAAGCGATTCTCTTGCCTCAGACTCCCAAGTAGCTGGGACTACAGGTGCCTGCCACAATGCCCGACCAGTTTTTGGTTGTAGTTGTCGTTGTTTGGCAGGCCTTGGTTGGGTTCTGGTATATATGGCTGATGCCCTAGCTGCTAAGTTACAGGTGCTGAACCTAAAGATAATTATTAAACTTAAGAAAATTTAAGGCTCGGTGCCTATGGCTCAAGTGGCTAAGGCGCCAGCCACATACACCTAAGGTGGTGGGTTTGAATCCAGCCCGGGCCCGCCAAACAACAATGATGGCTACAACCAAAAAATAGCCAGGTGTGGCAGGTGCCTGTAGTCCCAGCTATTTGGGAGGCGGAGGCAGGAAACTTGCTTAAGCCCAGGAGTTGGAGGTTGCTGTGAACTGTGATGCACTCTACCCAGGGGGACAGCTTGAGGCTCTGTCTCCAAAAAAAAAAAAAAAAGAAAGAAAATTTAAAACAGCACCTAATTTTAAAAATGCTTAATGACAAAACTTAGATGTTACTGCATTCCTATGCTGCACCAGGCACTTAACAATACATTAAGTAGAGGTAAATGTTATCCCTTGTTAATTTGCAATCATAATATAACAAAAAAGATATAAATTTGGATAACATGATATCTGTCCTTAATTAAGGATTCTGCTTGAATTCTCAGTATCCTAATTTAGGACTCACATAGATTCAGATAGTGAGGGATACTTATACTTTATATTTCTGTACCATGTCAAAGCATATCTGATGTGATTTCAAACAGGATTTTATTATTTTGATCATAATCTGCTATACTATGATGGAATGAATGTTATTCCTTCAAAAATACTGACAAATTATTGGAAAATAATAATTAAACCTAGGTCCAAAAGAAGTAATATGACGTTGGGAAATAAGCAATTAGATAAGTTACTCAGTGATTATAGATAAGCAATCATAATGTATTAGCCCATTTAACTGTGATTCAAAACACAAGTGTAACTTAGAACGAAGAGGGTAAAGTTACTTTTCTTTACAGAAAAGTCCCCAGAATGCTATTTTAATAGGCCGGCAAAACAACAGCATTTCATTGTCAACAAGATATCCATAATTACCTAGCAAAATAATAGCTGTTATGAAGTTTTAGTGTATTCCCCCCTCTACTAGAATGTAAGCTCTATAAGCAGAAATTTTTGTCTATTTTATTTAGGAATGTAACCCAAGTGGTTTTTTTTTTTTTGTGGGCAGAATTATTCTCACTTTATTTCTGGAGACATACTTGACATAAATATTAGTGTTGTAGAATCAACTGGTAATAAAAATATTTCAGTGAGTTTACCATTTTTGTGAGAGAACAGATAAATTTTTATTCATAATAAATTATAGCTCAAATTATATGTATATATAGACATACAGACATAGACATATGGATATACCCTAAATGGGAGTATAATAAATACTCTTTATAATAGATTATAACCTAAATGAGGGCATAGTAACATTAACATTTATAGCTATTGTCAAAAGTTAGAGAGTCAAATTGAATCCACAAGAACTGAAAATAAAAGATAATCACAAGAATCAATCACATAAGTATTGGAAGGAATATATTTCGGTTGGCAAAAAAAAAAAAAAAACAAAAAACAAACAAACTGGTTTTGGTGTTTTTGGCTTTGAGACAGGGTCTTACTCTATTGGCTAGACTAGAGTGCACTGGTGTGACATAGCTCACTGGAACTTTGAACTCCTGACTCAGCCTACCAAGAGGCTGGGACTACAGATGCGTGCCATCATGCCTGGCTAAGTTTTTTTTTTTTCTTTTTTCTTTTTTGGTAGAGACAAGGTCTCCCTACATTGTTCAGGCAGGCCTCGAGCTCCTCCTAAAGTGGTGGCATTACAGATGCAAGCCACTGTGCCCAGGAAAGAAACTGTTTTGAAACTTATCTACATAATCCGCAGGATATCCTTTGCAACAGAAGACATTTCAAGGATTGTCAAATAAATGAGGGAATAATAACAAATATTATGAACTATCTACTTAACTTCAATTTTTATGTTCAATTCCTAAACCCTAGTATTTCAGAATGTTATCTTATTTGGAAACAGCACTGCTGTAGATGTCACACTGGAGTAGTACCTCATCTAGTATGACTGATCTCCTTATAAAACGGGGAAATTTGAGACAGAAACAAGCACACAGAGAATGTACCATGTGAAGGCAAAGGTCGGGTGATGCATCTACAAGCAAATAAACACCAGGAAAACCACCAGAAGTGAGGGGAGAGGCATTGAGCAGCTTACTCTGCACAGTTTTTGGAAGGAACCTACCCTCCCAACACTTGGTCCCAGACTTTAAGCCTTCAGAACTGTGAGATAATAAATTTCTCTTGTTTAAGCACTAAGTTTGTGGTACTTTTAAGGTGCTGGAGTATACTAATACTCACACAGCAAAGTAGAAAAAGAAAGAGAAGGAATTAGGAAGACAGAAAAATCTCTTGGCAGAAGACATGCCTTAATGAGTGTAAGTGGCCAGCTGTGAGTACTTTACAAAGTTTGAATTTTCCTTCTCTTCAATAATATCATTTAAAAATTAAATTAACTATACACCATGTATTCTCAATTTTCCAAATAAAATGGGCATTAAAATAGTATATACCATTTTTATTACATGGCTTCATGTATTCTTGAACATACTGCAACATATTTCAAAGATTATATGTAGCCCCTAGTTTATTTTATATGAATGAGGTTCTAAAACAGGTGTCCTCAAACTGTGGCCCGCCTAGGACATTTATCCGGCCCAGTGGGTATTTTTGTCACCGCTGCCTGTCCTGCTTAGCAGCTGACTCGTCCCGGGGCCCACAGTCCAGCCCTCCAATGGTCTGAGTGACAGTGAACTGGCCCCCTGTTTAAAGTTTGAGGACCCCTGTTCTAAAACATTGTCTGTTGATGTTCTCAATGTTATAATCCTTTGTCCATCAGACATATAAGAGACACAGTAATTTCACAAACCTTGAAAGACTGCAAAGGTATATCACACATAGCAATAGCTTGTCTACTAACATTTATTATGGGTGCAATGGGGTTATCACTTACATTCTAAATACTAAAGGTCACTTACTAGCTACCTGGATAGTGAATTAAGAAAATACTGGCCTCTGCAGTCAATTTTATGTACTTCTAAAAATTAAGTCACATTCCTTCTTTGGAAAAATACAAAATTCTGTACTATGCTTATAATTCTTTCTAGCAAGGCTATAGCAGGAAAAAGTAATTATGTTTAACTTCCTTTATTGAAAATAAGATGAGGCTCGGCTCCTGTGGCTCAAGCGGCTAAGGCACCAGCCACATACACCTAAGGTGGTGGGTTCAAATCCCCAGCCCGGGCCCGCCAAACAACAATGATGGCTGTAACCAAAAAATGGCCGGGCATTGTGGCGGGCGCCTGTAGTCCCAGCTACTTGGGAGGCTGAGGCAGGAGACTCGCTTGAGCCCAGGAGTTGGAGGTTGCTGTGAGTGTGATGCCATGGCACTCTACTCCAGGGGGATAGCTTGAGGCTCCATCTCAAAAAAAAAAAAAGAATGTAAGATGAAACAACTGGCAAAGATGAAAATACAAAGGAAGCAGAAATAACAAGATTCACATATTAGCACTAATAACAATTAAATCAACCTTTTTATTGATTCAGATCTATTCATGGAAAAAAATACTTACTCTTCCAGCCTTCTAAAAAAGGCTACAATAAGACTACAAATGAAGAATGGAAAGAAAACATAAATATTATAAAATAACACCATGAGGCCTAGCCATAAAAGATGAAGCCATATAATTTGCCTGTAGATTAATATAATCTATGACCATGAGATTCTACATATAAAACATGTTTTAGTAATTTTGCTATTACATAAAGAGATTTTTAGAATTTTAACCAAAACTAATTCTTTGGGAAGCTAAGCTGATGATATTCTACATCTTTTGTCCAGAATTTAAGTCCAGTACCTTCTATCTGTGGCACTTCACCATGAAGCTTGGCTTTGCTGGAGAAAGGTGCATTCTGTAGCACTAATGCAAAGAGAGATGGGATCAATGACTGTAAGGCAGAAAGATACATGTGGAGCTTGTGTTCATCCAGCCCATGTTCTCCTTCCTGCAACATAAGGTGGTGGAAAAGAATTTTAGTCTTTTGAAATTACACCGTTAAGTGGATTTATGTATGAAGTTCTTCCTTTCTGTCCTTCTCAAACATTTAAGGACCTGTATGTTGGACTCAAAACATAAATTTAATAAGGATGTGAAATGTAAAGAAGCACTAAGGCCCTAGAGAAGTGGTAGAATCTTTTATAAATTACTTCAGGGTAAATTCTATTTACAGGAAACAGCTTTTACAGATTCCTTTTTTTGTTGTGGTTTTTGCCCTCAGTAGGGTGCTGTAGCATCACAGCTCACAGCAACTTCAAACTCTTGGGCTTAAGCAATTCTCTTCCCTAAGCCTCCCAAGTAGCTGGGACTATAAGAGCCCACCACAACACCTGGCTATTTTTTTATGTAGTTGTCATTGTTGCTTAATAGGCCCGGGCCAGGTTTGAATCCGCTGCCTCTGGTGTATGTGGCTGGTGCCCTAATGGCTGAGCTACAGGCACTGAGCCTAGATTCTTTTTCTTTGGAGAGGGTCCTGTCTTTTGACATTTTTAAAGTCATGGTAAAGAAATTAAAGTGAGCCAACAGGAATCATTTTCTTCCTTTTCCTTTTTATAAATGGATATGTAATAATTGTACATGTTTATGGGGGTACATGTCATATTCTGATACATGCATACATGTGTAATGATCAAATTAGGGTAACTGGGATAGCTATCATGCCATTTGTCACTCCTCAGAGTTGGAGACATTCCAAATATTCTTTTAGCTATTTTTGAGATATGTAATAAATTACTGGTTACTATAGTCATCCTATTGGGCTGTCAAACTTATTCTTTCTATCTAACTGTTTATTTGTACCCATTCTCTTCATCCCTCCCTCTCTTTAATCCTCCCCAGCCTCTGGTAACCACCATTCTACTCTTTACCTCCTCGAGATCAACTTTTTTAGTTCCCAAGTATTAGTGAGTACTGTACAGGTGATATTCGTCTTTCTATGCCTGGGTTATTTCACTAACATGATGTCCTCTAGGCTCATCCATGTTGTTGCCAATGACAGGATTTCATTCTTTTCTATAGTTGAATAACATTCCATTTTGTATATGTACATTTTCTTTATCCATTCATCTGTTTATTTTTTAAAATAAGGATACTTTTTTCTCACCTCCATAGACTTTTTTAAAAAAATTAAATCAAATTAATATGAGGGTGCAATTTTTAGGTTATATTGTTCTCAATTCCAGGGTAAAGTTCCATTTGTAGAAGAGCCCCTCACCCAAGGGGTGTGTTATATACCCTCACAACGTGCACATTAGGTGAGATCCCACCTCATGCTCTCCCTCCTTCTGCCAAATGAAATCCCCCCTCCCTTATCCCCAGACTGGACTATATTAGTGTTTTATTATTCTGATGAACATGTAATTGTTTATATATTGATTTCATATTAGTATGGAGTTCATTGGATATTTATTTTTCCATTCTTGCAATACTTTACTAAGAATGTATTTCAACTCCATCCAGGTAAATGTAAAAGATGTAACGTCTCCATAACCATTCATCTGTAAATGGATATTCAGGTTGATTCCACATCTTTTCTATTGTAAATAGTGCTGCAATAAACATGGGAGTGCAGATATCTCTTTGATACACTGATTTCCTCTCCTTTGGATATACACCCAACAGTGGCATTGCTGGATTATATGGTATTTCCATTTTCAGCTTTTTGAGGAACCTCCCTCCATACTGTTTTCCATAATGGTCATACTAACTTACAATCCCATTGGGTTCTCCTTTCTCAGCATCTGCTGTTTATCTTTTCGATAGCAGCCATTCTAACTGGGGTGAGATGGTATCTTGTGGTTTTGATTTGCATTTTCCTGATAATTAGTGAAGTTCAGCATTCTTTCATATATCTTTTGGTCATCTGTATGTCTTCTTTTGAGAAATGTCTCTTCAGATCATTTTCACATTTTTAAACTGGATTTGGGTGGGTTTTTTTTTTTTGGCTGTAAGTTTCTTATATATTCTGGTTATTAATCCCATGTCAGATGGATAGTTTGTAAAATGTTTTCTCCCAATGTATTAGATGTCACTTCACACTGTTTATTGTTTTCTTTGCTGTGTGGAAACCTTTTAGCTCACTATAATCCTATTTGACCATGTTTGCTTTTATTGCTTGTACTTTTGGGGTCTCATCCAAAAAATACTTGCCCACACCAATGTCTGAAACATTCTTCCAATGTTATCTTTTAGTAGTTTCATAGTTTCAGGCTTTACATTTAAGTCTTTAACCCATTTTTTTTTTATTTTTATATATTTTTATATATGATTTTTATAGACAGGATCTTGTTCCATTCTTCTGTATATAGATATCCACTTTACTTAGCACTGTTTATTGAAGAGATTGTTCTTTCCTCACTG